CCTTACCAAAAGGACAAGCTTACATTCAAGTTTTTTTCGAGACCTGAAGTTACCTGTGAAAATTGATGACATCAGAAGTGGTACAATGGACATGGTTCCACTCGTTCCCAGGCTTCTCTCTCTTCCTCCCTCGAGAAAGGAGGAAGAGAGGGAACCCTGGGCACGAGGTTGTCCACATAAGAGCGCGAGGTGTGAACCAATTCGCACGTTTGCACCTTCCCTTGTCCTACAAAATATTTACGCTATTATAACAAAATCATATAAAAAATCTTTCAGAGCCAGCACGCCACTCTTCACTTTCATGAACCGGAAAGAAAAGATGACGTGTCCGTAGTTGGAAGGAAGGTAATATTCCGAAAGAAGTCGGTATCTACTTAAACCGGAACACCGGAACACCCCGACACACTCTGGAACAACCCCGAACAGCACGAATAATAACAATAAAAAAAAGACAAACAGAAACCTGAACTCTAATCTGTAAGCCTGCGTGGCAGGAGTCGAAAGAGGAGGGTGGGGAAAGAAAAAGGGAGATCGGTTTTCTCTCTTTCCCCTCCCTTAGGCTCTAATCTATAAAATATCAAATGTTCTTTTCATTTGTTGTCTTATTTTTAGGTTTCAGGGGAGTTCCGTGTTCCTGCTTTTAGCACATGCAAAAGACGTTTTCGCCCTCTAAAACAAACCTTGATTCTTTTCTAGTTCCATTTCCCTGTATACTCTCCTCTTTATTTGAAAATTTTTATTTTTGAATAGTTTAGGAAGAAATTGAATGACTATTTTTTGTTTCTTTTTTCAGGTGCTTTCAACGGTTGACGAAAGGTATTGAAAAAACTGCCATTGATATAGTAGTAGCTCCTTTTGTAACGGTTCCACTGACCGTAAGAAAAGGACACTGCTCATTCTCCTACCCGTACTCTAAAAAAGACAGTGAGTGATGCCTGCCGAGATTTCCACTGTCGCGTGATTTTCACGTGCGTACGCGGGTAAAATCTACTTGCGTAAATAATTAGAGGCGATGTATGAAAGGCCACCCGTAAACGTAATAGTTAAGCGAGATTATATTTTTACGTTTACTTGCGAGCTTACAAATATTGCCTCTTTTTTATTTACGCGTCTAAAATTTACGTAAGTACCCACGTAAAGATTACTTAACAGTGGAAATCCACCGTTAGAAGCTTTACCACTTTTCTTACCATTCGTATTCACATTGTAAGCGTCCGTACCCTTGTTAGACTACGAGTATACCCCCATTTTTCCTCAGGGATAGTAGAGCGAGCGAAACGGGAGCGCGCGTGAAAATCACCCCACGCGAGAAAAGACGACACCCGGCGGGTAGAGAGCGCCTTTTCTCGCGTGAGGTGATTTTCACGCGCGCTCGCATTTCGCTCGCTCTACTATCCCTGAGGAAAAATGGGGGACTACTCTTAGTCTATACTCTTGTTCACAAGCTTTGCTTTTCACTTCAGGGACAATGATGCTATCACAACCGAGGTAAGGTTAACGTTAATGTTGGTAGTAATAAAATCACCACCGTCACAGTTGAAGCGCGCTGGCTTAGAATACGATCAAAAACAAGAAAACCAGTCATGTTCTTTGAGGCGCATTTATTGTCTTTTAAGATATTAGACAGGCCAAAAAAATCCACTAAACCACATCCACACGAAGAAGTTGTAAGCCTTCCTCTGTGTTTACGTGTAACAGACCGTATTTACATTGAGTAAATTAACAATATAAGATATTAACAATCGAAAATAAATACGACATTGGCCCAGTTACACAACTTACATGCGTCACGAATAGGGATGTGATGGATAATTTCCTTAAATAAAACCTGGCTCCAACGCATACGTTCACCTTTTCCACAGTCTTCCCTCCATCCCCTCCCCCCCGTGACGATTAGACTATTAACAGCATAAGAAACTTCATTGCTTCTGGTTGTACTCTATGTGTTAGAGAAATGATTAATGATTTATTCCCGCTTCTAAAGGACTCCGCCCTATTCCCACCCATAACCCCTCAAGTGTCAGCCTTTCAGCAAGGGGGACGGAAGTCCGTATCCACTGCAAGACTGCCCCAGGGGGGGATGATGATTATCCAGGGAGCAGGTTCCAAACACACAGAGACAATTCCACTATCAACTTCACAAAGTAAGATGAAGAAGCGAGGAAAGGTGAAAAACTACTCAAGACGAGAGCTGCTTCTCAAGCAGAAGGCAATTATGGATAAGATGCTGCACGTGGATGCTAGGATAGAAAACTTGCAGAATGAATTCAGTGGAATGGAGCCCGAGAGAAAACACATTGGTACAGTAGGTGCTGGAAAGTAAGTAAAACACTTGAAAAGTAAACATCCAGCAATTTTCTTGTCACCCTTGACAAGAGCTGAAACACGTTAGGGACCGTTCATTTTTTATGGGGTAGGGGGGGGGCTGGTGGGATTTGGAGGAGTGTAATTTGAAAATTGTATGACTCCCCCCCAATTTCCGATTTTTTTCGCATTGGTCCCCCCCCCCTCATCAGAGTAATTTTTTGGAAGGCCCCCCCCCCATGAATAACAAATACATAAATACATTCAGGACTCAAATTATTGGTTTTATTATATGAGCTTGACAACAACATTTTTATGAATGAAAAGAGAGTTGTTGCTATTCAAGACTGTTATTATGGTATGTTCACTGTCCTCATAAAATATAAAAGCCGTTGAGAAGTTTTCTTGTTACCCTGGAACTGCTTTAGCATATTTGTTATAAATAAAAGAGCACAATTTTTCTTCCATTTGTAAACATCTCTTATCCTATTTTTAATCTAATTTTTTCGTCCGACCCCCCCACTTCCTTCATTTTTAGCCAATTTTTTTCGAGTGGCCCCCCCCCCCAAATCCCACCAGCACCCCCGCTCTCTCATAAAAAATGAACGGTCCCTTATGGCCTCCGGAATGAAATGGAGGTTTTGCCGTGCATAGGTTTTCTATGAAAAGGTCTCCAGAAAACCCAAGGGAAAAAGCATGGATGTCATATAGGGCAGTTGGATTTTCCCCTCGGGGTTATGAAATGACCCCCAGCTACTTTCGTAGAACACAAAAAGGAAAAGGAATCAAAATGACTTCCTCGCTGTTCAATTCCAATTCCATTGCATTACCATATACCTTACTGGTATTTAATTTTGCGATTTTGGCGAGAGAGTATTTTTGGCGGGGTTTTATTTCCGCGATTTCAACACGCAAATATGAGAAAAGGGCATTAAATTTTGCAATTTACGCACTCTCAACTTCATTTAATTTTTTTAAAAAAAAGTCTGAAAGATTTCAAATTTCTTGTTGAACTGGAAAAGCGATGTGTGAAAGCTATACAAATTAATGTTATTTTACTTACTGAAGATACAAAACGGAGCTTACCAGTATAACCAGTTAGCAAGTTATATTGCCGATACATATCCTGCATATGTTGCTGCTATCTGAAGTTAATATATTTTTTCTGTGATTTTAATTTTCCATATGAGTATTTAATTTCTCGTACTTAAAATTCGCGGTCTTTATTTTCGCGATTTTTGCAATCGCGAAAAACACGAAATTAAGTACTAATTGAGCGTTTTCACTCACGTGACCAGCTCTATGCAAATTTATGGGAACAAAAGGAAGTGTTTACATAAGAAAAGAGTTCAACTCCCACAGGATTGGTTTGGAAAACCAACATGGCTGCCGTCTTATTGTTTTGGAACACCAATATGTCAATACCCCTCATGTGAAAACGCTGTATATGGTACCTGGAAACTTGAAATCTTAGACTCCAGAGTGAGGTGTCCACATCATAGCATACTTGTCCAATACTCCGACAAATTTGTGCATGCCTTTGTTTAATTTCTCATTGTTTTGCTTCGTTCTTTATTGTTATGCTTTTGTTCAGTATTGTAATGTGAACACAATACAATACAATGCCAATCATAAATTTGTCGGAGTATTGGACAGCCCCCCATCACAGAGTTGTTAAAGGAAAGTTGCGCAAATTGTCCAAGAAAATAGTCGGAAAATTCTTGGTTTTGGCTCCCGACCTTACTTATCTGAGCTTTACACTTTGGGCATCCGTGTCTCAGAAGTAACAAAGAATTAAAAGGGGTACAAGGTTAAATAGTCCTTTTGTAGGGAGCCCCTAAAACTGAAACAAAATCGCAATTTTCATTTTCATCACTGTTCTCTTTCCCAAAGCCAACACAACAACCAGAACACTAAACCAAACCAAGCTGTCCATCAGCATGGAGTTCCATCAACAAGATCTCAAGATTTTTACTTTCCTCTAACAACACACTCTGTAGCACTTCCAACCCTGCCTCAAGGATTACACGTACAAGGAGTTATGGATAACAAACCTGTCAAACAGGAGACAGAGAAAGAGCAAGGAAACTCTGGAGAGCATGTCAGGGAAGATGAAATCAATGAGGAACCACTGCAGTTACCAGTGAGTAGAAAGTGAGGGTGCAGGGGTGGATCTGGGGGAAGGGTGCAGGGGTACCCCCGAGATGACCTGCAGTTTTCTAATACAGCTGGCATTCTGCAAAAAAAACTATGTGGTTTATTGGTGTTGAAGTAGAGCAAGAGACGAGTGCACCCCCTCCAAAAAAAATCCTGGATCTGCCCCTGCGGTATACCCACACCAAGGGCCTTGCCAGCTTTTTGGCTTCTTGTAGTCCTGGCTGACTGCGAGTCGGAATATTTTGAAAAACACTGACTTCACCTAAACTTTGAGCTCTTCAGGCTTAAGCTCAGCTCCCAACAGCACATAACTTATTACAAGTGGCAGAGTGATCAAACCAATAAATCTTTGTCCCAAGCCTACCGGTTTATAGTCTGGTTACACCCCTGCACACTAGTGATGCAAGCATAAGCATAAGCGTAAACATAAGCGTAATACAAGGAAAAGCATAAGCATAAGAAGCTTATGTGCTAATGAGGCCGGTCATAATGTGAGCATAAGCGTAAGCACAAGAAGAACGCAAGGTTTTAATATTCTTTTCTTTTTGCTATGCTTATGTTAAGGCTGTCCTCACTTACACATAGTCTTCTTTAAGGTTGCTACAGCCAGAGGTTTCTGAAATTCCCTGACTTTTCCTGACTTTTTCCTGACAAAACTACCCTGGGGGTACTTGGATTAATTTTGCTGGGTATGTGCCGCTGGCCTCTCAGAGCCCCTACCCCATTATAGTCTGTTCTGTGGCCAATAATATTACTATAGACCCCATCTTAGTCACTTTGGGGCATAATTTAATTTTTGCGATACCAACTTAGTCAATATCTATTAATGTCTGTGTGGGAGGCTAACTTTATATTGAATGAAGAACACTTTACTTTTCACCTACAGTACAAACATTCATGTACATTTGCAAATCGTAAATATGAAGAACTGTTTTACCCCAAAAATCCAAAAATGTGCGATCCCATTCTAGTAACTCTGTTGAAAATGCGACCCCATTCTAGTCACTCCAGGCGTGAAAATGCGACCCCATCCAGGGGCACATCCCCATTAGCCTCTTATAAGGAAGTACTCCCCCCCCCCCGGCAAAATTAATGTAAAATTTCCCTGACCAACTGAGAATGGACTCAAACCCCCTCCCTCACTGCCATCGTCTTCACCCACATATTTATGCTTTTAGCAAGTCACGTCGACGTGCAGTGTATATTTAACAATTATTCCTCGAGCCCGAATGGGGTCCGAGTCAACAGCCCATGAGGTTGAAGGCCAAATAGGGTATTGACTCAGAGGCCATGAGGGCGAGAGGAATAGTAATGTTTTAGTAAAATCCAACTAGTTGGTCAAAAATATTAAGACAAAACAAGTTAAGCTAGCAAAATGTGATTCAGCCGCCATCATTTTGGTTTTCAAAGCCGGCGCTTTCCGCTACTAGTGGGATATAACATATAGCAGAATGCAGCATCGACAATAGACCACTACTTAGATTTTACTAAAAATTGATAGCTCCTTAACTTAACTTGTCATTCAATTCCAAGAACAATAACCTACCAATCCAACATGATTTATGTCCGTAGAGTGTCTAAAGATTTTTAAATGTTAGAAAACAATAAAAGTACAAGGAAAAGAATAAATATGCACTCTTAAAATTTCACTTTTCCCTTTCTTTCAAAGATTTAAATCTTCCCTCACTCAAAGTGAAACCCCTGACTTTTCCCTGACCTTGAAGACTTTTTTCCCTGACCCGTGACAACCATGTAATCTTATGCTCATGCTTGCAACGTTAGTGAGGACCAGGCTTAAGAGAATAGCTGTCTACAAAAATCAGGGGCACCCAACGGCAATTTTTGGGAAAATATCTGTTCGGAAGACGATTTGAGAACTAGAATTTTCGGAACATTTGTTGTAAAATTTCTTGCTTGCCTGCCTCTCCTAGGATTTTCGAACATCTACAAAATGGTATAATTACCCATTTTAAACGGATATTTACCCTAAAAAAGGTCACCTAGAATTTTCGGGAGCCTTTTCCTGGCTGAAATTTTCGAAAAGGTAAGTTTTGATCCCTATAATTTTCAGATCACTAGACTTTCAGCTAGAAAATCTGAACAGATGAAAAGTTTTTAGGGGATAAAAATATGCCTATATCTACCGTTTAAATACTAAAATACGTTCAACAATGCTATTTTAAGCGGTTTTGAACTATATCCTCGTTGGGTGCCCCCTAAAAATAGTCAACAATGAGCTTACTTGAACACTCAATACTGGTATCTGTTTCAGGGTATGAACAATACCTTCTGGCTGAGAAAAAATTCAATAATTGCAAGATTCCCTTCACAAAAGCATTTGAGGAAATCATTATCTGAACAACCAACAAAGCTTCCTATGTTAAACATCAATAATATCCTAAAGGTTGGACAATGAGGACGTAAGAATTGGGCCAAGTAAGAGCTGCTCGCTACAACAGAGCTCTACAGGATCCACGAGATGAGGAAAGATATGCATCACATACCAACCTGTGCCCAGCACACCACAAATGCTAATAACTCTTTCTTCATCACAAATGCGAAGAGTAACTACAGTGACAAAAGGAACCCCCAAAAAGACTAAGTTTGTGTTACGAAAATAAAGATTTCTAAAAATCTCTATAATAAAGATTTGTAAATTTCTTTATGTACAGCCCCAAGAGATGCCTGAATCGGCCAAGACCCTGACACCCTAAGTGAGACCAAAATCTGCAATTTAAAACCCTAAGTGAGATGACAAGCATCCCCGTCACTTCCTTGGAGTCCCCCCCCCCCAGGCAGGCCCGTAACCAGGATTTTATGTGGGGGGGGGGTGCTAACGAGGCCAAAGTGGACCCAACTACCGAAATGTATTTTTTATTTTCTGATCCGTTTATTTAGGAAAGTAGCAATACATGAGAAATAGTAACCGCAAAGTACACGGTAGGAACTGAATATTACATTTTTCGAATACAACAGTTTGAATTAAGTTATAAAGGAGTAATTTTACGATGTAAAATGATACATCAAAATACTGCGGAACTAATCCCTCAGAATAGTCCCGCGCTCCAGCCTACGTGGATGTAGCGACTAAAACTCAGAGCACGATAACAGATCAAGACTGGTGGACATTGTCAGCGTCTAATGGCTCTTGACGGGGTACTTTACTAACCCATGTATCGAGAGACTGGCAAGATTTAGCTGCAGCCTTCCTCTTTCTATTTTCCTGTTTTCTCGTACCCATAACATACTACACAAAAAACTTATTTTGCATCTTAGGGCGTTCATGTGCTCGTACAAACAGAGAATACTACCCGACGCGTTAGCAGACGTGTCTGACAAAAATAGTGAGATCGTTCCCTTGTCATTGTCTTGCTTGTCGTAAACTCCCGTGCAAAGCGTGCACATTAATACGTAAGCTCAGACATCTGTGCACTCATTGAAATGTTCTGAATGGCTCGGCCTACTAGAGTGCAGCTGGTCTTATTTTCCCAGTGAATACACTACTGCTTTTTTCATTCTTTGATTTTGTTTAGATATCACTGTTAAGTTTGAAACTTCAGTTTAACCGACCGCATTCCTTAACTTGGATATTGAGTATCAAACTGTGGACCTTTGGGGCTTGTGGGGGGGTGCGAATGCACCCCGTGCACCCCCCCTGGTTACGGGCCTGCCAGGGCCTTATCCCAGGAGTGGGGAAATTACTGTTGCATGTATTAACACCGGGTTAATGTCAAACTCCCCGCTATGTCCTCAGATTCAGGGGCCACATTTATTAATTGACGCATGATCAATATATGCTCACCTTGAAGCTTCTTTGATCTACACCCTGAGACGAAAACTGCAACTGTACGAGTACAAAGGCATGATTTTTTAGAAAAATAGTGAAAAAAGCTTCTGTTAGCCGCCCTTGGGTTACAAATAAACTTAACCTAAACTACACAAATCGCTCAAAACATTCTAAATCCTAATACTAATTTTAAGGTCTAACTTGTAAGGTACAGAGCTCAGAAATCAAGTGTAATTCAATCATGGTAAAAACAGAATTTGAACTCAATTCTCGATCGTTTCTAATCATTGCTCTGTAAATTTACAAGTTTACTTTCAAGCAAACGAAAACACACACTACAAAAAAAAACGCACAAAGACACAAATACACAGACAAAACACAACTACGAAATACTCACTAAACTGTACTACACAAAAAAGACAAAAAAATCGCTAGTCGGTTTTATTTATACATCATCGTGTTTCCAACGAAACTCTCAGATTTGACTAAGAAGTTTCATCTCATCAGCCTGTGAAAAGAAAAGAAATAAAAATGAAAATGGAAGAATATATACTGTTTTTGAAAAGAAGAGTTCTCTTCCGTTCTCTTCGACACAAACTCACCGCCATTTTGCAGCCTCCTGATTACTCGAACCAGTCTATGCGCGCCGTTTTATTCGGACAATATCTCCCCAGGGTTTTCCCGATTTCCATAAAACATAACGGCCTGTGAGCTGTGTGTAAATATTTATTTCCTTGCTCGTCTCAAACCGGATTAAGGAACACAGTCAAACATAGGGTAAGTTCTTTTGTAAGTTCTGGATTAGTAGTAATAGCTTAAATTACATTTCGCACATCTTAGATTCCATTTTAGCCGAACGAAAACAAAGACGTTGTGTAGTGTCTGCGTGCTACGTGCGAGTTGTTTGCATTCGACGGTGACAAGAGCGCTCTCACTAAATGTTTAATAAGGCCAGTTTGCATCTCCTGTATTGTAATAATTACGTACGTTTCGAGTGCTGACATGTTGAGAAGCCTCCTTTGCAATTATTACAAGCTCTGATGGTGAGTGTGGGAAATATCCCTTCAGCTTTTTTGGAGTTTCGGGAGACAGAATACTTCTTTGATAGAACAAGATAGAGCCATGCTTTTAGAGTGTTTAAACCGCAAGAGTTCATTGAGGAACTAAGAATTTCAGCAGGTTTGTTCAAATAATGATAATAAAGAAAAGCCTCCTGTTTTCATTTTGATACTTTGAATCTTGCAATAGTACTAAAAGAATTTCTGGCATCTGGGTGTGCTGCAAATTTCTCTAAGGGTACTCCCAGTGATGTTCTATTCTCTGCAATCAGTTCACAGACTTCTGCACGTTTGAATTGAGGTAGCGTACTGTCGGAAAGTCGAGGCAAATTTTCCATTGTCTTTCAATTTAAAATCTGAGGAAGTAATTCCAGTTTTGGAGATCTAAGTTTAAGTTATTTTGAGGCGTTCTTGACCCAGGGTTTGCGGTTTTTGGCCACAGTATGAAGTTCTTTGTGATATTTAATGTCATCGATCTATACAGTGCGTTGGAAATATTTCTAGAACAAAAACAAAGATTAACAATCAAACCTGACTATTTCACTATTTCTGAGCATGAATTACGCGCTGCTAAAGTTATATTTTGTATCAATTAACTTGTAAAACTTACTGCAAAGTCCAATATTAATTTCATTTACTTTAATAAAACGCTGTCATGTGGGAGTATTAAATAACAAATCTCCGTCGACTGACAATGTCATATGCAAATCTAATGTACACCTTTTATTATCGTTCACCGGGTAAAGAATTTTGTTGAAGTCAAAAACAAATTAAGCGTATCGATTGGCAGAACTTGGGTACTTTTTGAATTGAAGATTTTGAAAAATTTAACGCAAACATGGTTGCAATTCTTGAGAAAAATTTCGTTCATTTCCGTGGATTTTCTACATGTTGCAGGTTTTTAGACACATCCAAGTCTATAATAATATCCGGGGTGCTCGTGTTTAAAAACAGAAAATTTTCTGTAGCAGAAAAAAGAATTTGACGACCAGGTGTACAAAAGTATTTAAAAAGAAACGCTAAATCTCCTCCTCGTGTTTTAAAATTTTGCATTTTGTCAACTATTATTTAAATGCATTCCAATGGCATTTGATCACAGCATTTCACGCACATGGCTGCCCGGCTGATTGCACACTGAGAAAGGTTAAAGATCCACTTTAATCGTGACTACAGCACGGATTGTTTTTAGCTTCCCCGAGCCGTTTCACAGAGCGTGACTGAATAGCCTATGGTATGCAAATTCCTTGAACACCATTCTTAGATTAGCAACGAGATTATTGTTTTCGCAGTCAATCTCAAGAGAGCAGTCACTGTGAATTTTTCAATAACGGTGTGAGAGCACACTTTTTGCCCATGCCAACGAGGTTGTTTGCGCAGGGATCGTAGCGAAATGTCTTCGTCAACAGCTGGCCAAAGTTAAAAAATCCTCGTTAACAGGTATTCTAACACCTAAACGTTTGTCCATGGATTATTCGCTGATTTAATAATGGTTTTAGAATCGACTCGGGCTATATTGGATGTAATGAAAAGTATCGACATTCGATGGGCGCACATTGCTATTTTACGTAAGCAAGAGTCTTCGAAACTTTTCCGTTTACCCACTCTGCATCTCAAACTGTCTTATTTCGAGATTTAATTTGTGTTGACTCCTGAATTGTGTTATTCGTTTGCCCTTCGAATAAGCGATCAATTGAACCAGTAAACCCTGATTGCGTATATTTGTCCGCCGTAGTTAGCTATATAGTTGTACATGTTTCGCCGCTTGTTCCTTGTCATTTTAGCAATTATCGCGCGTGTCAAATACAACTTTGGAACGCCAGTCATGCATTCGCGGCCATCGGCGGAATAGTTCATGTTTGTTTCTTTGTTTTGTCTCCTTTTGACAGCGACAAATTGTATTGTCAACCGAAAATCAGGCTCGATACGAATACCACAACATGTCGGACAGAGCGGATGAAGCTTCAGCGAAAGATGACGACGCTTCGCACGATAGCGGCGAAGAAGAATTTTACGATGTTGATGTCGAAAGAGAGACGACAGAATACGTTTCAACTACATTTGACTCTTCAACTACGGAAGAAAGCATTAAATTTAAGGTTGAGGAACTTCCGGTGAACGAAGACTTTAAGGAACGCTTTTTCGAAGCTCAAGAAAGACTCGGGGAACTTGAAACTGAGCTGAAAAACACACGAGAGAGACTGAGAAATCTGGAAGATGCATGTGAGCATACGGAGGAAAAAATTGGGGTTTTGAAGAATGCAGCGTTTTCTTATCACAAGTCATTTTCAGAACATGAGGTCACGTTCAAGACGGTTCTAGAGGAAAATAAAGAATTGAAAATTGTCATTGAAAAGCTTCAGACCACAATTCGGCTCAACAAGAAGGATCGCGAGAAAACGGATGAAATTAAAAGAACAATAAATGAACAACTTAAGGAGCAGCTTGATGCGGCGGCAAAAGAAAACGAAGAATTGGAAAAAGAGGTCGAGGAACTGAGAGCCATGAATGCCAAATACTTGCGTGACACAAAAGATGCTGACAAGAAAAAATGTAAATACTGCGGCCGTGATA